CATAGGAAAGAATTTCTCCCTAGTCAGCCACACACTCCAGCTGTTGCTCCCCGGGCCTTTGCCACGACCAACCTGAGCAATGTCTGTGAACACAGTGTCTGAGACGCTCTCACACAGCGTGGCCACGAGCTGCAGGACCAGCAGCTTCCTCCCCTGCCTGGCGTGGTACTGCTCCAGCTCCAGGAGACTCCCTCCAGGCTCCGCAGCCGATTCTGAAGCTGCCTCGTCCTCCACAGCCACGTGGGTCAGTGCCTGCCAGGAGGGAAGCAGAGGGCAACGCAGCCAAATCAGTGCTGGGAACACTATGGCCACCACAGCAGTGGTCCTGGGCACAGCACATCCACCTCCACCCTGCTGCAAACAGCTCCCAGTTACCTGCCCTCTTCCAGGCTCATCCCCTTCCACATGAACATATGTCACCAGGCCAAACCCTTGCAAACCTCCATCCCTATGGACACTACACCGAGCAGCTCTCCTGGGGCCAGCCACTCCCCTGGGGTCACACAGACCACTTGGCCCAGGGGAACTGTTCCTGAGGTGTGCCCCAAACAGAGACCTGCTGCCCCTACCTTCAAGCAGCGGATGAAGAAGTCTCCAGCTAGGCCACTCTTCTGGCAGTGAGACAGGAGCTCCACCAAGTTCTCCACACGGCACTGCTCTGAGGAAACCTTCTGGTAGAGGGCCTCATCTTCATCACTGAAACGGGTCACTGTGTCACCAATACAGATGTACCCAGATATGCCCGAAGGCTGGCTCTGAGCTACCCCACACAAGGTGAAGCCCCACTTCTGGAAACCTTCCCTTGCAGCACTACCAGAGAGCAGAAGTCTGGAGGCAGCTGAGCCAAAACTATTGTTCAGTTCATTTGGTCTGCGTGATCAGGAACTCAGTTTATTAATTAACCTGCATTCATTAAAGGAGTAACATTTACGGAAACCCTGAGTGCAGGACACACATTTAATCCAGCCATCCTATAACAAATGGGATCAGCACCAGCTAATTCATGCAGCAGTCATGGCCACAACACTGGGACAGACATGGGCAGAGGGAGTTAAATATGTCCAGTTTAAGAGGAGGCAGAGCTCCTCCTAATTCAGGTCAGGAATAGATGGAAATTAAGCCAAACCCAGCATATTTGTGTGAGGTTTTGTCACAGGTGCTCCTGGCACACCCACCCATGGACACTCCTGTGTCAACAGCACTACCCTAGGCTCATACCTGCCTGCCAACAGCCACCCCTCTTTACACCAAGTGTGACACTGCCCAGCAGTCCCAGTTTGCCTGGCTGGAGGCTAATGGCTGCAGTTTATTCCCCACATGGCCACGCTCTGCCTCTGCTTACAGGGACCATCTGCAAGAGCAGGAGGGGAGCTCAGGTGCTGGCTCCACCACACTGCCAGCATTAGAGACCTCACTGCACCGGTGCCACCAGTACCCCAGGGATTCCACTTGCCCCACACAGCCACAATCTGCCACCAGACAGGCTCAGGCTGGAGGATGGAAGCTGAATTTGGGAAGTGTTGGGACTGATGGAGCATGTCCCATTCCCAGACATCCCACAGTCCAACCTCAGGACAAACATACAGAGGGAGCTGCCTTCAGGGCTGAAACCCAGAGCTCTGCACCATGTAGGAGGAACATGGAGGCTGTGAAGAAGCATCACCTGCATGAGCTTGGCACAGCCAGCAGGCTGCCCAGGCACCTGGGCAGTGAGACAGCGATGGGGCAGGCCCCGCACCCCCTCCTCGCCTGGGCTCTTTCTGCCAGGCAGACTGTGGAAAGCCCCCGTGCTGAATGGTGCCTGGCAACACCCACCAGTGCTCACCTGATGGTCTCCTCCACCACAACGGTGGCACCACCCTCGCTGCCCAGGCGGAAGCGGCACCGCGGGTGCAGGGCGGACACGCTGCCCTGCAGCCCCACGAGGCCTTCCAGCACGGCCAGGGACGCCTCTCGCTCCGACTTCTCCAAGAACCACAGCAGGATCTCCTGGCATGGGGAGCTGGCAAGAAGAGGGAAAGCAGTGGTGACCTTGCTCTGCCCTCCCTGCTCACCAGCAGCAGAACAGGACCACGCGCCCCAGGGCGAGGGAGGGGAGCAGAGTGCTCAGGAGCGACCATGGGCACTGACAGCACCAGCAGCTGAGGGCGTTTGTGTCAGTCTGTACAGGGATCAGCAGTACATCCCATCCTTCTGGCGTTCCCAGATGGAAGGATTCGAGGCCCTCACAATCCCAGCCCAGCTCTGAGCAGCATGTCTGTACAAGGAGAGCCGCTGCCCCACAGCCCCAGCTCGCCGGGCCCGGCGCTTCACGCCAGCCTGACAAAGCACAGAGCTGTCAGCTCTGCCAGGGAAGAGGAGGAAGGAGACAGGGAGCACTGAGAGGTGGCACAGAAACCCCTGCCAAGGCAAGATGCAGGTTAATGAGGTGAAGCAGCAGGGCTGTGCCAGAGGTCTGGAAACCCGAGCACTTCCAGGCAGCTTTGGTTTCAGCTTCCCCTGCCAAATTCTGCTGAAAGAGAAGCGAGCAGCAACTGTTCACCCAGCAGCCCTGTTAACTTGGCTTGTTCTACCAACCTGCCACAGCACCCGCTGCTCTTTGAAGTGATTAACAATGTCTTCTATAGTATCACAGGCTGTGTCTACACAGACCTTTCAGGGGAAGCCTCCAGGACACACACACCAATATCACCAAAGTTTAAACCCACCCAGAACATACTGACTAGGCTGGCTCAAAGTCAGGTGGAGAGAGGAGAGAGGCCAGGCAGCACCTGGCCACCACAGTCCCTGCCACCATGTACACCTGCACACCATGCACCATTTACACCATGCACACATGTGGTGCTCACTGTGGTACATCAGTGTTGGGAGGGGAGCTAGGCACAGCACAAGGGGCCTGTACTATCCCAGAGCAGAAGAGAATGACCTTGTACTCAAGCTGTTCCATCCATTTTTTAATACTGTTTCTAAATCCCCAGTACACAGATCTCTCCAACACCCAGCCAGGTCCCAGTGTCACCATCTCTATCCACGATCCCAATCCCTTCTCCTAAGCAGGCACTAAGAGTTAACTTGTACTCCCATGGGACACGCCTTCCTCTACACCCAGCATTTTGGCTTCAGGGAAGACAAAAACTAAGGCAAGAACTGCTTCCTCAGGCACAGCTCTGCCAGTAAGGCTGTGCACTGTTCCCCTGCCCGTGGTTACTGCCTGCTTTGAATGGGAGCTCTTCAGGGTGAGAAAATTGCTCTCTGCTTCAGTATGTGCCCCCATCGAGCACGTCCTTTGCAGGCAGGCAGGACAGGGAGGACGAAACTCCAGAAGAAGTCGTGTACAATCCCTCCTTACCTTAAGTATGACACATTCTGCTTGGCGAAGGAATAGAGGGAAAAAACCACTCCCAGGACTGACTGTAAGGATCTCAGCAGCAGGCTCGAGCTGTCATTCCCAACCACATACACCTACGGGGAGAAGGGCACGAGGAGGAGAGTCAAACACCGGCATGGAGCAGAGGGAAGGCAAAGAGAAGGATGGAAAGCAGGTCTGGCACAAAACAGCTGCCGCCAGGGAGGGTGGCAGTGGGTTTTCAGCCTCTGTTCCTTACAGCCTGGAGCCTGTTTTCCCTGATTATGCCATGTTCTGCACTAAAAGCAGCCTTCAGCATCATCTTTCTCCCAGCACTAGCTTAACCACGGCAGGGCTCCAAGCTACAGGAATGCTGCAGCTGGCCTTTCAGGAAGCCTGCTGCTTAGGGGCAAGGCCTCCTGTCGCAGGGAGATGCAACAGGCGCAACATCTGAACCAGCAAATCTTTATGGAAATCCTGCACCTTGAGGCAGATCTCAAACATGCAGATCTGGACCTGTGCCGGGCTGAGCAAGTGGGTTGCAGTGGCTTTGAGGAGGCTGCAGGGGCACGTTCCTCTCCTCCATCCCAAGCAGCACCTTCCTGAATCACCCTCTTCCAGGAAACCAGCACCCCCTCCCCAGGCTGTCACCAGTTCATCACACACAGGTCCCACCTTGCAGCCCACAGAGTCTTACGCCATCACATTTTCTTTTGAATCCTTTCAAAGGAATTGTCCAAAACTGAAAACCAGGTAGGATGCTTCTGTCAAAGCCATAAGGCTGGGAAAACTCGATCTGGAAAATGGCTAAATGCCAAACCTCGCCCTGGGTTCAGTGTTCAGGGTTGCTGTGTTCAGGTCCTCACTTCAGCAGCCTCCACCTCCCTCCACAGCTTTTTGTTTTTAAAAAAAGGGTCAGGGGGACACTAAAGCCTTTTTATAAGTTCTCGAAGGGATGTCCAGCTGTGTGAACTCAGAAGATGCTCTCCCTCACACCACAACACTCCCCACATCTCCAGCCTCTGTAGCTGGAAAGCAATTGGGCTGGAAGGAACCTGGGGACACACCAAAGCCCTTTTCTTACCTGCTCCAGGCAGTGTGACAACCCAGGTAGGAGGGAGATTGTCCTGATAATATTCTGCCCTGCTGCATTGATGCAAACAGACTTTTTTTCCTGTGCTAATCCCCATGGAGCCATTCTTCCTAACCAGAACGTTTTGTACACAAAAGCCTCCCTGATGAAGCCCCAAGGATGGTTTTCCACTCAGCATCAAATGACACTTGCTAGGCAAGAACCCCTCACCCCTCCCACCCCCAGATCAGCAGGCTGCAGTCTAATCTGGCTGCTGTCAGGCCTCCAGCGCTCTGCCATTAAGGAGGGACCCACCCCACATCCCCCCCCAGCACTCCCATTGTGCACGGCAGCCACAGAGCAGCCCTCCAGACTGGTCTCTGCCTGCCAGCTAGTTACAACAGATCATTACCACGCAAAATATTACAACAATCACAGCATTTAAGAGCTTAGCCTGCCCCGGGGCATGCCAGTAAGCAAGTCACCAGCTTCTTAAAATTGAATTCCGGGGTTGGAGATGTCCTTCTTGGGTTGGAGCAGAAAACTGGGCTGCTGTCAGGGCAGGCAGGGGAGCCTGGTGATACTGGTGGAAAAAAGGAGCTGTGAGGGAAGGTTTTGGAAGAAAGGCTTCCATAAAAAGTCCTGTTCCTTCACAGGGAGCACAAGAGCAGACCCCACCTCTGCCCTGAATGCCAGAGCCAGGGTCTGCGCTGCTCAAATTCCTGTTTGTTGCTGCAGGGGGGGAAGGAGCTCCACAGAAGGTGCTAAGCCTTAGGGCCCAAAGCAAGAGCTGGCTGCTGCCCATCCCTCTGCAAGGAGTTAAGGCTGCAGCTGTGGAAAAGCTTCCAGTCTGGCTCAGGCTGCCCTCTGCAGACCTGGGAAGAGGGAGAGCAGCTCCCAGCAGGTTCTCCATCCCACACAGGTAACCTGGGCTCAGCATGAGCTGTTATTATCCCTGCTCTGCAGGAAGGAAACTGAGGCATGGAGGCACTATGAGGAGGGTAGACTGGTGACAGCCTGGGAGGAAAGCTCAGGCATCCTTTGGAGATTCACCACTTACAGGATTTCCCTGAGATCCATCCTTCCCTCTGCCCAACTGCATGTCTGATGCTGGAAGGTAAGTGGCATCACCTCAGACAGGGACTGTTGGCCCGAGGCAACAAGTACCAGGCCAGCAGCACTTCTGACTAGGACCTCCTGCCTACTCTACCATCACAGCTGGAGTCCTGGAGCTGCTCTGACAGTGCACCCAGACACAACAGTCCTGCAGGAGCTCCACAATTTAGCAGTGCTCAAGAAGTCTTTCCGCAGCTCACGGAGAAATACAAAAGCACCACAGAGACTCCTGGCTACGAGCCCACTGCTCAGGCTCCTCTTCTTTTAACACACTGATAAGACACTGGGGAAAACCAAAGCACAAGCTCACTGCCAGCTCGCAGAACGTTTTGGGGTGAGAATGCTTGAAAGGCTGCAGGCAGTGCCTGGTGTCCAGCCCAAAGCTGCAGCCCCACCAGGGCAGTGCTGCAGGAAGGGCTGCCCTGTGCTGCTCTCAGCCTCAGCACCACGACTGTGGGAGACACCAGGATTTATCACTGTCTCACACCTGCACTGAACTGCCCAGAAAGGCTCAAACCAGCTCGTTCTTAGAAGCGTTTTCTTGCCTTCCCTGGGGCCCAAACCAGACACGATACCTTGAGCACATCCTCCACACAGCTGCTCAGCTCTGCCTCTGTCACCAGCACGGTCCCTGCTGGCAAATTCCCCACTGCCAGCTCTGAAAGTAAAGGGCAGAAACATCAGCAGGGCACACATGGAGTCTCCTGCAGGACAGCAGGGTGCCCAGCACCAGAGAGCACTTGGATAGTTCTCTGGCTACCCCTCCCCTCCATCAGGGAACCCCTGAGCCATCATTATTGGTGCTAAATATCACAGCAGTGCTGTAAACCCCAAGGAGTTACAAGCAATTGAAAGCAGACCAGAGCTTCTCAATGGGTTACTCCCTGGAGAGCTGCTGGTCAGCGCAGAGAACCGATGGCTTCCGCCTGGAAGCCCAGAACGAGACTGTCAGACTGGGAGAGCCTCCCAAAGGGCACATGGGATAAACCTCACTACTTGGCTCTCAGGATGGAGTCATTTGCCTCAAGTGCTAGTAAAACACCACGCACACAGACGTGTTCACAACTGGCAGCACTGGGCTCACACCCCCAGCACCTGAGAAAATCCTGATGGAAAGACAGAGACCAAGCAGGGAGAGGGGAAAGCAGAGCCCTGCCCAGGGACAGAGACCAAGCAAGGAGAGGGGAAAGCAGAGCACTGCCCGGGGACAGAGACCAAGCAGGGAGAGGGGAAAGCAGAGCCCTGCCCGGGGCTGGTACCTGTGGGCGCAGAGCAGCGCAGCAGGGGCTCCAGGAGGGGCCGGAGCAGGTGCTGCTCTGCCAGCCCAGGCTGCCCCCTCGCCATGGTGAGCACAGTGCTGGTGGCCACGCGCTGGAACTGGCGCGCTGTCAGCTTGTCCTGGATGTGCAGCAGGTCCAGAATCTGGAAGGGAAGTCCATGATAAAGGAAGAAAGATCAACAAGCTCTTAAAAGCAGGGGAAGGCCACCTCCTTTGGAGAGGAGACTGAGGAATCTCCTGAGGGCTGCTTTGCTGGACATTTTGGCTCATTCCACATATGGAAGAGCCTCTCTCCTCCCCACCCACATGTTAGTGCAGGATGTGTTTCTGGGCTCAAACTAAGAGCCTGCACCACTCCCACAGCCAAGGGCTGGAAGCAGGAGCTCCATGGCAGAGAGCTCCTTGTAGCTGAACAGCTCGTGCCAGCAGGCACCGTTATCCAACACTTCCATCAAATACAGAAAATTCAAGAGCAGGATGGAAATGCATCCCACTGGCACATTCCACATCTCCATGTTATCCTGGTTGAAGCCAGGCCATGCTCCAGCAGACGTAACAACACTGACACTCTCCAAGCTGGGAGTGAGCTCTGCATTCCCAGCCAGAGGGGAGGGGAAGAGGGACAGACCTGGGGGCACACCAGGCAGTAGTAGTCCTCGAGGGAAAGGCACTGCTGTGGGCAGGATGCCAGGATCTTTGCCACCGCATCACATTTTCTCCAGTCCACAGCTGCTGCTTCAGCACCAGCACCACCTGCTACACCAGCAGAAAGGCAAGACCAGCTCAGACTGACAGCAGATTCAGGGCCAGTTTTGGCTGAAGACAGAGGTTTCTGGCCAAAAACTGGATTTCTAGCTTTTACTGCTCTCTTTAAATCAAGCATCTTTCAGGTGACACCTGAATGATATGACAGAAGGGGGAAAATTACTATCCAAGACCTCTGATACTGAAAATCACCTTCTAAAAATAGGTGTATGAGCCAAATGGTTGTGCTTGGACAGTGTCATCAGGTTGGTTTTGGCTGGAGAAGCCCTTGGCACTAAAAACCATAGGATTCAGCTTTAGGAGAGCAACAGTTTCCCTCCCTGGCAGCAAATGGAGAGCAGGGAAGCAAGGCTGCCGAGCCCTGGGGCAGGATGGGTCTCACTCCACCTGCAGCTGCTCACAGCCCAGCACAGCTCCCACCAAACCAGCACCCACAGGGAACCAAACCACACTCCGCACACCAGGTGTGACCCCCAGAGGCAGAAACAGACAATTAATTTGGAGGGTTTCAATCTGGACCTCAAACATGGCAGTGTGCTCCCAACTAAAGGCACTTGCAGTTGGAAGCCTGAGAGATTGGCACAGTCAGACACAAATCTGCACAAGTTACAGAGTCAGCCTGGAGTAGCAAAAGCTGTTTCCCATTCCAGTGCTCTGATGGCACCGTCCTTCCCGGGCCCCTCGTGGGATGAAGTGTGGTGGACACATCGCCACAGCCTCTTTTCATCTGCGATGCTGGAAGCCACGAGCGGCGTCAGAGCATCCTACTCACCGCCTGTTCCCTCCATGACACCCCGAACCACAGCCTGGACCCCGTTGGGTCTCATCAGCCTCTCGGAGAGCAGCTGACCACAAAGGCGCCGCAGCCAGGCCGGAGCTGGCGCCAGGGCCGGCTTTGTTTCTTCCCCAGGAGAGGGAGAACTCTGAAAGGAAACAAAGAGCAGGCTCAGGAGCATATTCCACACTCATGTGCAAGCCCTCACTAACAGCCTGCGCCCTGCCCTGCAGGCCTCGAGGCAGGAGCACAGGAGAGGGAAATGTTTTAAGTAAATCACTTCTTCATCCAGTGGCACAAAGCACATTGGGGCTTAATGAGAGAGACCAGCCTGCCCAGGAGCAGCCCCTTGTGCAGAGCTTCCCCCCTTAAATTAAAGCCTCCCAGCGTCCGGCAGCAGCTCTGCCTCATTAACACCACAGTGCTCGGGGGACAAGTTGGGTTTGATGCAGGTAAGGGATCTGTTGCTCCACGAGTGCCTCGTACGGAGCCTTGGCAGCCCTCACACGTGGGACAGCCAGCTTCTGTCCACTGGGAATGGCATGTGATCCCGGTCAGAGCCTGGCAGAGCTATGCCTGCACCTGCAGCCCTGCACCATCCCACGCGTGCACCAGTGGCTCCGTGTGTCCTGACCCTGCACCCTGACGTGGCAGGTGGCCGCACACCCACCTACAAGCACGCACCTGCCTGGAGCTGCGATGTGGTCCCTTCCCTAGGGACTTCCTAAAAACAGCACCAAGGACGTTCCCCATCTCCTCCTCCCCACCACCACGAGGCAGCCTTTGGAACAGCCAGGAATGGCAGCGGGTGCATCACTGCTTCACCCCTCATGTGGGAAGGGGACGCGAAGGCGCCGTGCTTGGCCCAGCGCAGCGGATGGAGCTGCCAAGCCCGGGTGGCACGTGCCGTGAGGACAGTCCCCGAGCCCACGCACACCCACAGGCACACGCCCCGGTACAGCAGAACTGCCAGGGCT